TGAAAGGTCAGCATTTTGCAAAGGGTCCAGCTTTTGCTACAGTTCCTACCTCATGCAAACCTTGCACTTCACACAGGGCAGAATCCTTAGCAGTGTGTTTTTCAGTTTGGGATTGCTGAAAATCAGAACAAGGGAATGAAGACCTGGAAAAGCATACAGATACACGAATACAAGAAATATCACAGCATTTTCATTCTTAACAGAATAAATTGTTGTCAAGATCAAACATATAAATTTGATGCTGTACATTACTGTCGTGGTTTTGTTTTGGGTCAATTTGCTTTCCACTCCCCACACAATTACTATTAGTTGAGAGAAGGTTTTTACAGACAAAAGAGAGACAGGATTTGGGGGAAATAGTATAAACATTTATTACTAGTAAAATAAAAACTACTAATAAATTAAAAACTAAAGAACTATATCTCCCACAATTCCTACTCAAGTTGAAATGATATATATATACAGAAATACTTCTTCCTTTTTTATACTAGTCCAAGGAGAAGAAGTAGTCTCATTCTCTATTTTTGGAGTTCCAGCTCTCTCTCTCTAGTAATAGATCTTCAGTAGCAGCAGTATTCTCGTTGCAGCTGGAACTTTTTCTCTCTCTTTCTCGCTCTGTGTTGGCTTCCAGGGCTGGGTTTACCCCTCTCCTGGGCTAAGACCGAAGGCTGGGAGTTACCCAGGTCTCAAAGGGTCTTTCTTCCATAGGCTTGCAAGGGGACACTTGCTTACTATGGATCTTCTTCCACAGGGTTACAGGGGATAATGGCTTAAGAGTTCACTCCTTTTTCCCTATGGAGGTCCCTCCCCATGGGAGAACAGTCCTTGACAGACTTCTCGGCATGGGTCTAGCACGGATCCACACACACACAGATCCCAACATCTCACATGGGCTGTCTTGCTCCAGCATGAGATTTCTCAGGGTCACAAAATCTTCAACAGCAGTATGGATCCACACACACACGGATCCCAGTATCCCACCTGAGTCGTCACTGCTCCAGCACAGGTTTCCTTCAGGGTCACAAATCTCCACCAGGACTCCGCTTCACTTCAGTCCTTTTCATGAAGTCTCGGTTCTCTTTGGTACATCCACAGACTCCTCTGTCAGCTGCATGGGGGGTCTCTTTATTCCAACAAACTTTTACAAGTAGCAGGGATTACCTTTCAGTCTTTTCCCTGCTGAGGAGAGAGAGCGAAAAGGGGGGGTGGGGGAGAACAAGCCCCCCCTTTCGCACTTTACTTTTCTTGCTGCAGCTTCAGCTGCCAGCTTCGACCTTGGAAGCTCCGTTATCTTTCGGCTGGAATTCTTCCACAGCGGTTTCTGTCCAAGCAGTTTGTCTTTTAAACATTTTTTCTTCACTCTCTTACAAGAGAGAAGGGAGGACTTCAGTGCTACACCTGCTCCCCCCACCCTGGCCCAAGCTGGGGGAGGAGGGAGTCTGGCCCTGCTCGGACCCGCTACTCCTCTCCCCTACATGGCTGCTGCCCCTAATTTCAACTGCGCAAACAAACCTTCTCTTCCGTTTTCTTGAAGATGTAATTAGCAAAGGCGTCACTGGACT